GTCAGGACTCCATGCTTGGACTGGATCATCCCCGTACCACCCCCCTCCCGCCCCCCAGCTCAGTTGGTAGAGGCAGTGGCAAAGACCTCCACTCAGGAGAGCAAGCCCAGCACCTACCCTCCTGCTGAACTGAGTTGGCGGGGGGAACGGAGATGAAAGTGCCCTTGAGCAAAGTGAGTGCCATCTGGCTGTCCAACACACATGTATTCCTGGTCCTGGTCTGGTCCTTCCCCACTCCGTCCTCTCAGGGTCCTTTCTGCCTCCATCAAAGAGCTCCAGGCCTTCCTCCCTGCCACACTCAGCCTTTTATCGGTTCATATACCTGTGGCTTCCCAACCCTCCTTCAGAAGTGATCTGGGGAGAAAGGAGGGTGGGAGTGAGCCTGGGGTGGTGGCAGAGCCTCTGTGCCCCCCTCTCTGCGGGAGGCTCTTTGTCTGAGTTGGGTGGAGGCCAATGAGATGCACAGGATCAGGGTGTCCTGGCCCTGAGACAGGGGCTGTTTGTCTTCTCTGCTCTGGGAGGAGGAGGGACAGCCCGAGAACAGTGATGGAGGAGAGGGAAGATGCTCCATCAAACCCCGGAGGAGCGCCTGCAGGTGGGGTGGGCTCCCCGTTGTGAGATGTGGGCCTGGCAAAAAGCCCTGCAGCTCCCTGACTTGGAGAATCCAGGGGAGACAACGAAGAGGAATGAGCGGGAACAGCAGCAAGTCCCAGGCTTGACTCCACTGCTGCCTTCCGTGCAGGCTTGTCCCTCTCCCACCTGGCGCCTCCTCTTTGTCAGGTGCCCGAAGAAGCTAGGTGTCCTGAGGTCCCCTCCGGTTCCAAAAGCGCATGATCTTAATAATGCGAAGCTACTGATATAGGGCTGCCAGGTGGAGAGAAAAGAAGGCTGCGAGGCGATTGGAAGCTGGAACCGTTTCTAAATGGTTATTCCTGGAGGGAGTCCTCCCTCTGCACTGACAGCAACCAAAAAAGAAACAGGCTTATCCTGGGTGTTGAAATGCTCTGTATAAAGAGCACCTGGGTGGCTCAGCCAGTTAGGCATCTGACTGTTGGTCTCGGCTCAGGTCCTGGTCTGACTGTCGGTTTCGGCTCAGGTCCTGATCTCATGGGTTGTGGAATTGAGCCCCGTGTGGGGCTCTGTGCTCAGTAGGGGTCTGCTTGAATATTCTCTCCCTCTGCACCTTCCCCCACTCCTGCTCTCTCTCTCTCAAATAAAAAATTCTTTTTAAAAAGAGTTTATTTATTTATCTGACAGAGAGAGAGAGAAAGCACAAGCAGGGGGGGAGGGCCAGAGGAGAAGCAGACTCCCCGCTGAGCAGGGAGCCCGATGCGGGACTTGATCCCAGGACCCTGGGACCATGACCTGAGCCGAAGGCAGACGTTTCACCGACTGAGCCACCGAGGTGCCCCAATAAAAAAATCTTTAGAAATGTTCCGTATGTTGATCTGGAGGTTAGTTCCATGGCGTGTACACGTGTAAACATCACTGAGCTGTCTGCGTAAGATCTGTGCTCCTTGCATGTACATGGACGTTGTCCCTCGACAGAAAGGTTTGAACAGTGAGCGTGGACTCCAGCAAGAGCTTAGACGCCAGGGGAGACTGTGGAGATGTGTGTTCCCACCCAGGGAGGTTAAGGACCTCCCTTCTCTTGAGAATTGACACTAAGAGGTGGTGGGACAAATGAGCTGACCTTTCTTTTGGAGAGCTTTCCAAAATCCTTCTCAGAAATTCCCATTTTCCTCCCAGCCACAGAGACCCCTCCTCGTTGCCAACCTGCCTGCCGTCTCTCCCACTGCAATTCCAAGCATGCACGCTGCCCTCCCCGGAGCCCAGCCATCCCTGGCCTCACACCAAATCCCTCCCGAGGCTTGAAGCTTGAGGATGGAAGGGGCCCCATTTCAACCTTCTCACCAACCATGCCCCCCACCCCACTCTCTTTTCCCTGGGGATGTCCATCCTGTTCGGAGCCTGCCCCCACCTAGGCCCTTTTTCCGGTGGTGTGTGCCAGCCGGTCCTGCATCCCACATCCCCAGCTGTTGACATTTCGTTGCCTTTGCCCACAGGATAAAGAAAGGGCCCCTGTTATTCAACAATAGGGGGAAAGACAGAGACAATGAGAAATTGTGTTTCCGATGGGGTGGGGCCAGAAAAGGAAAGGACAGACAGATGGACAGACAGGGGGCTGGACAGAAGGGGTCCAGTTTCCTGAAGCCGCCGGAGGTCCTGGAAGTCTGGTTCCCGCCTTGAGAGCCTCTTCCCACAGGCAATGCACACCCAGGCTCCTGAGGACAGAGGTGAGGACTCTGTGGGGGCAGGGGGTGCTGCTTGGATGAGGCCCGTGTGGAAATGCAGAGACTGCGGGAGCTTGACCACGGGTCTGTGAGCTCATCCGCAGTCAGCCTCGCGCACAGCGGCCCAACGTCTTCATACCCACCAGTCCGTCGGCTCCTTCTCCGGGCCAAGAACACCTAGAAGAAACGAGGCACCCCACCCTCCACATTCCTCCAGGTAATCTTTCCTGGGTCCCTCCTTCACTCCATCCCCTCGGGGGTCCCCACCCCTGGACCCAAGCCCCACATCTTCCCCAGGCCCAGGACAGTGAGCAGTGCAGATATAGTGCTGGGTCACAGGCTGGACACCAGTCACTTAGCCTGGCTTGGTGGACTGACGGGTGGAAAGGTTTTCTCAGCACCTTGGCTGCTTCTGCGAGCTCAGGGCAGAAGCCTTTCCTCAAAGGAGAGACCGCACTGATCAGGTGCCCAAGTCCCAGGGCTCTAAGGTGCTTGGACCTGCCTGGGGCCCAGGCACCTCCTTCACTGGGACCTCTTCCTGGAGCAGGACAAAAAGCAGCCAGTCCCTGTCGCTCCCATCTCTGTGAAGAGACCGGCTTCTAGCAGGTAGGCACTGGGCCTGTTTGCTTTCTCCTTCTCTGCAAGGGCTACAAAGAGGGTATGTGTGTGCCTGCTTTGAAATACAGAAATACAGCCCAGCGGTTAAGAAAGAGCTTGAGCTTGCGGTCAAATCCAGGTTTAAAACCCAGCAAACCTTGCTCTTACTAGCTGTGTGACCTCACTCAAGTCTCCTATAACTTGTACAACTTTATTTTATTTTTTTTTTAAAGATTTTATTTATTTGACAGAGAGAGAGAGACAGTGAGAGAGGGAACACAAGCAGGGGGAGGGGAGAGGGAGAAGCAGGCTTCCCGCCGAGCGGGGAGCCCGATGCGGGGCTCGATCCCAGGACCCGGGGATCATGACCTGAGCCGAAGGCAGACGCTTAACGACTGAGCCACCCAGGTGCCCCAACTTGTACAACTTTAAGCAGGAGTAAAAGGGGCCGCGTAATCATTCCCACCTCACGTCCTTGCTGAGAGGAGTAAATGCAAGATACACGTGGGAAGCGCTGGGGCGGTCTCACGCAGGTCTCCCGGGGGGTGCCCCCCTACACCCCCTGCCCCTTCTCACCAGGCCGGCGGGCACAGGTGCACAGGGCGTGTCCCCGCCCAGGTACCTTCCCTCTAGCGGCTGGGAAGCCCTCGGAGCCCAGCCCCCATTTCTCCCGGGGCAAGCGGGGCGCACCTTCAGTTGCAGGAGGAGGGGCTCAGCCCCTTGGCTTCCGACTCTCCCCACGTCCCAGCTCACCTTCCCAGAATCCTTAGTGTGGGCTCATTCATTAACATGCACACACATTTATTTAGCACCTACTGTGTGCCAGGAACTATGCCAGGTGCTGCAGATAATCGCTAACACATACATGGCACTTACTACATACCATACACGATTTTACGCATTTTACGCGTGTTCCTTCGGTGAGATAGGTGGGAATTATTATCCGCATGTTTACTGATGAGGACACTGAGGAAGAGAGGAGTAAATAACTCGTTCAAAGTCACGCAGTTAGCACTTGGAAGAATCAGGGTTGGAAAACGAGTAAAGCTAGGTTAAGGTGTCCTCAGCCCTGTTTTAAAAAAATGGTAAAGTTGATAAAGAACAGATAACAATAAAGAAGGAAAAAATCGGGGGGCGCCTGGTTGAATCAGTCTGCAGAGCCTGCGACTCTTGATTTCAGGGTCGTGAGTTCGAGCCCCACATTGGGCATGGAGTCTAATAAAGAAAAGAAAAAGGGGGAAATACACTACTGAAATAGAAAACTGTGTTTGGAATTAGTTCTGTAACCATAATCACCGGAAACCTCCCCGATACAGTCTACAGTGCACAGGTATTACTTTCAAAACCGCACTGCTAGTTCAGCTGCTAACAAAAGCACTTCCAAGAACGAGTGCCCAGGCCGGTGCAGCAGGGGACCCAGAAGCGCAGGTCACCGCGCACTACAGTGTGGCCAGCCAGGGAAGAGGAGGGGTTTCCCAGAGGAGGTGAGGCCCACAGTGACGCCTGGGAGAAGGAGGTGAGAGTGAATTCGGACTCTTTTGGAGCCAGAAGTCCAAGGTGTCTGGAACACAGTGCTGAGGGCACAGCAGGTGGAGGCAATGGGGAAGGCACAGGGAGAGGCGGGATCCCAGAGGGCCCTGCAAGCCGCGGTGAGGAGACCAGACTTTCTCCTCGGGGCGAAGGGGGCCAGTGCTTTAAGCAGGAGGGTGAGAAGATCGCGTTTGCTCTGGCTCCTCTGGAGGACGGAGCTGGGAGAGGTGAAAGACTGTGGCGGGCCTGGTGGCGGGCCTCCGGAAGCAGCACCTGCGACGGGTCGGGGCAGGGAGGCGGCGCCAACTCTGGACCTGGCGTCTGAAGGGAGGGGGCGGAAGGGGGACGGCCCGGGAGGCCTGGGGGAAGGGAGTTTGTTACTGCCCCTTCCCGCATCACCTTCCTTTGGCCTCTTCCAGCCGCCTGCTCTGCCCCCACGCTTTCCAGCTGGACAGTCCCCTCTAAGGGATCCCTACTGGATGGGAGTTCATCTCCAACGCTGCTGCCTCCCCCCATTCCTAGTCCCAAGAAATGCCCACTCTTTGTGCCCTGCAGACGGCGCTGGGCTGACTCGCCATCATGCCAGGCCCGCTCAGTCTCCCAACACTCTGCCATTTCCTTCTCCTCTGGCCCTTCGCCATCTTCCACAAAGCCCTGGGGGACACAGGTAAGACCTCAGCCCCGCCCAGAATTTGGGGAACGGTGGGGGGAGAGGCTACAGGTGTGGGGGAAATGGATGGGGCAGCTGTTGGAGGTGCTCAGGGAGGGCCACTGTTGAGTGCGCCATGGAGGAGACGGTTGGAGGAGTCTGGGGAGTAGAGTCTGGATGGGCACTTGCAGTGGGGGTCAGGGGGTTCCTGCCACTGTGGCCCCCTCTGCTCAGCACCCCACCCTGGCCCCCACTACCTCCTGCCCCCCATCCACGAGGTCATTCACTCTCGTCGTGGGGCCACGGCCACGCTGCCCTGCGTCCTGGGCGCCCCGCCTCCCAGCTACAAGGTACGCTGGAGCAAAGTGGAGCCGGGGGAGCTCCGGGAAACTCTGATCCTCATCACCAACGGCCTGCAAGCCCGGGGCTACGGGCCCCTGGGGGGTCGCGCCAGGATGCGGAGGGGGCATCGGCTGGACGCCTCCCTGGTCATCGAGGGCGTGCGCCTGGAGGACGAGGGCAGGTACCGCTGTGAGCTTATCAATGGCATCGAGGACGAGAGCGTGGCGCTGACTCTGCGCCTGGAGGGTAAGGCCCTTGGGTTCCTCGCCGCCCCCTCCTCTCCTGCGGGGCTTTGGCCGCCCCAGCCCGGGTCTCCCAGGGCTCCCCCCGCCCGCTGCCGGGGTCCCCCAGCCCCTCCCCGGTCCGCCGGCCCTCTCCAGGATGTCCGCCTCCCGCCAGGTGTGGTGTTTCCGTACCAGCCCAGCCGGGGCCGGTACCAGTTCAATTACTACGAGGCGAAACAAGCGTGTGAGGAGCAGGATGGGCGTCTGGCCACCTACGCGCAGCTGTACCAGGGTGAGCGGCCGCCCCGCGCCCCGCCCAGGCCTCTCCGGGATGGACCCGGCCCCGCGGGGGGGCGAGCTCCGGGCAGGCTTCTGAGGGGACCCCTCTAACCCCGGACCCCGTCTCCCCCTGCCCGCCAGCGTGGACCGAGGGCCTGGACTGGTGCAACGCGGGCTGGCTGCTCGAGGGCTCGGTGCGCTACCCGGTGCTCACGGCGCGCGCCCCGTGCGGCGGCCCGGGGCGGCCGGGGATCCGCAGCTACGGGCCCCGCGACCGGAAGCGCGACCGCTACGACGCCTTCTGCTTCACTTCCATGACCGCAGGTGAGGACGCGGGGAGGCAGGCGGGCGGCGGAGCGGGGATGAGAGCCCGCGCCTGCGGCTCCGACGCGGACGCGGGGCAGGTCTGGAGAACGCCGCTCGGGGCGAGATGCGCGCGTCCGGAGGGGGCGCGGCCTCGCCGTCGAGACCGCGCGTGGTGCCCTCCGTCGCCGCGCCCGCCAGGCTCCCCCCTCTCCCGCCCCCCGCCCCACCGCGACCCCGCCTCGGTCCCGGGGAGGCTTCGGCCCGGGCGGGTGGTGGTGACGCGGCCCGCTCCGCAGGCCACGTGTTCTTTGTGCCCGGGCGGCTGACGCTGTCGGAAGCGCACGCGGCGTGCAGGCGGCGCGGGGCCACGGTGGCCAAGGTCGGGCACCTCTACGCCGCCTGGAAGTTCTCGGGGCTGGACCAGTGCGACGGCGGCTGGCTGGCGGACGGCAGCGTGCGCTTCCCCATCACGTCGCCGCGGCCGCGCTGCGGGGGCCTCCCGGACCCGGGCGTGCGCAGCTTCGGCTTCCCGCGAGCCCAGCAGGCGGCCTTCGGGACCTACTGCTACTCGGAGTAGGACCGCCGCCGTCCCCGTCCCGTAGCCCGCCCCGGCCGGGGGTCCCGGCGGGCCGGGCGTCGGAGGGGAGGTGGCGATGCCTGGCGGGACCTCGGACGCACGGATCCCGCCCGGCCGGCGGCCGTTCGCGCGCACCCGCGGCCGCTGCTGGGGGCGGACCGGCGCCCCAGGGCATTAACCGACTTCTGTGCCCAGCAGCCCAGTAACTTGAGGACTTTCTGCGTCTAGTCGGAGGTGGAGGGGGGTGGGGGTGGGTGGGTGGAGGGGGTGGGGCTGTCTCGGGCCCGGCCGGCCGGCCGGCCGCGCGCCGAGGTAGGCGGTCAGAGGTGGGGCTCCTGCTTCTGGGGGCGAGCCTGCCGGACCGTGGGGATTGCGGGGAGGGGGCCCCACAGGTGGAGGGGGGGGGACTGCAGGCACCGCGGGCAGCCTAGCCAGGCGTGGACGTGGGAGAACGCGGGTGCTATTGCGCCGGGCCCCACGCGGGGGCGCCACGCACCCACCTGAGACTCTGGTTCCAGTCTCCCGGAGCGCACGACAGAACCAACAAAGACGAACCTAAACGTATTTAGGAATGTGTTTGTATCCTGCCAGTCTCCGGTCCTGTACAGGAAACTCAAACCACTGTTCAGCTGACGGGAGACCGACCCTGCCCAGGGAGGAGGCGGCCAGCAGCCCCGCCACCGAGCCCACCGCGGGGCTGATACCTGATGTGCGCTCGCCACCCCCCTAGGCGAGAGGCGGACGGACGCACCAGGAGCATTAACATCTGGTTCAAGGAAACGTACCAGTAACTCAAGAGACAAGCTCAAATGCCATTAATTCGTTTTTCTCTAGTATATATGTTATTTTAATTAATTGATTAGTTTGTTTATTCATTTTACTGTTCAAGCAATCTAACTCCACCACAAGCTTGGGCTGGTGAATGATTACTGGAGCAAAGGGTACGAACTTTGCTTGATACATGTCGTGAAATTGCTTTCCAGGAGGGTTCTTGCTGTAATTGCTAAAGAGAATTCATCCCGTTGGATTTTATATAAAGGAACAAACGGCATCTTCAGTAACTCTCACACTGCAAGCGGAGAATCTGTGGCAGTTCGTAAGCTCTGCTTTCCTCTTCTTGGCTGTGGGATACGAATATCTGCCTCTGGAGTTTGCCCCGAGGGGTAACTGAAACAATGTGCGGGGCACCATGTGCCTGGCACACAATAGAGGCTCTTGTGAATGGTGCCTGTAATAATTGATGATTATTATGGTAACACTAATGGTAACAGAACATCAACAATAATTATTATTGGGGTTCTTCCCAGGTAGCCTGTAGGATTGGTTGCTGTATGGCGCTGTGTTCATCAGGATACACTCAGCCATGCTGTGGTAACAACCTCCACACAGCAGTGGCTTAAAACAAGATCATTTCTCCCTTAGGCTACCTGTGCATCGTGGTCAACAAGGGGGTTCTTCTTAGTTATTCAGGGACCCAGGCTGATAGAGCAGCCACCTTCCAACGCTGCCAATCACCACACCGGAAGGAAAAAGTGGAAAGAGCTCTGGGAGGTCTTACATCCGCAGTCTGGCCCAGACACTTGTCTGTTCTGTTGACAACTGTTTCTCTAGAACTAATTGCACGGCTTCGCTCAACCACAAGGGGGCAGGAAAGAGCAACCCTACTCAGGCCTAGAAGTAAACCGGCAACTGTCCCTACAGGACCAGCCCCAGCTCCACCACAGACAGGCACTGAGGGCGGTAGCCTAGATTCTGGAACATGCTGGCAGCCACCTCCTCCTCCACGGCCCTTCTGGGTTTTCTAAGTTCTGGTCTGTTATGGAGTCAGAGCCCCAGAAAGTCAAGATGCTGGGCCCCACAGCTTCCCTGAAGGAAGATGGCTTTCCTTCTGTACAATGCCCTCAACTTTGTCCAGAGACCAGATGGGAAGTCACAGGAACTTTCCATTTGCTGCAAAGCCTTGTTTTTCCACCCACGAAAACACATGCCTACTAATTTTTACAACTATTCTCCACACTGCTATTACAATTTATTATTATTATTATTATTATTATTATGGAGAACTTCAAACATATGCAAAAAGAGAGAGACTAGGATAGTGGACCACTTCATCATCCAGCCTGACCATTTCAAGAGTCCACCCTTCTGGTTTCATGAATTCCCTCACTTGTGTTCGTTTGTGCTGGAGTATTTTAAGGCAAATCTCAGACAGCCTATTATTTCACCTGTTAATTCTCACTATGTATTTCTAACATATAGTGACTTTTAAAAATAACCATAATTCCATTATCACATCCCCCTCAACTGACATTATCTAATATATACTTCATGATCAATTTCCCTTGAATGTCTAAAAAATAGTTGATTTGCCCAAACCAGGATCCAAGTAAGGGCTACTCATTGCATTTGATGAATTTTTCTTGGTTAATTTTTATTTATTTATTTTTAAAGATTTTATTTATTCATTTAGAGAGAACGAGAGTGAGCTCACGCAAACAGGTGGAGGGGCAGAGAGAGAATCTCAAGCAGACTCCTCGCTGAGCGCGGAGCCCCAGGTGGGGCTCGATCTCGGGATCCTGAGATCATGACCTGAGCCGAAATCAAGAGTTGGACGCTCAACCAACTGAGCCTCCCAGGCGCCCCTTGGTTAATTTTTTTAAAAATATCTTTTAAATTGTAATACTTCTTCCTCCTTCATGTTTTCTATGCCATTTTGTTTGTTTGTTTGTTTGTTTAGGAAACTGGGTTGTTTTCCTCTCGAGTCTCCCACATGCTAGATCGGGCTGAGTGTATCCTTGTAGTGTCATTTCACATGTTCCTCTGTCCCCTGTCATTATATTTAGAAGTTTGATTAAACGTACGTTCACTTTTTCTCCCAGGAGTATTTCATAAGTAAGACTGTATGTTTCCTCTTTCGTCACATCAGAAGGCACACGGCGTCTAGTTGTCAATGCTACGGTTGATCAGTAAATTCTGCTGCTGTCGGCCTGATCGATTCATTACAAAGTTCCTTGTTGGGCCAGTTGCCTATGGCTGTTGCAACAAATTACCACGAACATGATGGCTTGTGACAACAGAAATGTATTCTTCTACTTGTCTGGAGGCCGGAAGTCCACACTCCCGGTGTTGGCAGTGTGGCCCTCCCTCTGTAGATGCTGAGGAGAATTCTTCCTTCCTTCTTCCTTCTTCTGGTGGCAGGTGGCATTCCTTGGTGTCTCCAGCTGCATTGCTCCTATCTCTGTCTGTCTGTGGTCACATTGCTTCCTCCTCTTTGTGTGTCTGGGTCTCCTCTTCTTCTGTCTTTCCTGAGGACACTTGTCATTGGATTTACCCCACCTGGCTAATCCAGAATGAGCTCGTCTCAAAACCATTGACTGACTTTTGGGAATAAATTCATGTAATGAGTTACATCCACAAAGACCCTTTTTCCAAACAAGTTAACATTCACGGGTTTCAGGGATTTGGAGGTGGACATATATTTTTGTGGCCACCACCTGACCCAGTACACCCACACATTTTTATCTAATGGCTACTGGTGATCATTGTCTGGATGCATTATTTCATTAGGAGCACAAAATAGAGACATTCTAATTTTGTCATTCTTCCTCTATGATTAGCTGTGAACTCTTCCATAAAGAAAAATGTCCCTCGTTGATGATTGTCACCCTGACTTAGATCCATTCAGGAAAGGTAGGATCAACGCCTGATTCTCTCCCATAAGTCTTAGCTAGGTGCCTACGGAATGAAGGTTTGCATCCCCCCAAATCCATATGTTAAAGCCCTAGTCCCCAGTATGATGGTTTTGGACATGGGGCTTTTGGGAGGTAATCCCATGATGACAGTCTTGCCCTTATAAGAAGGAATTCGGGAGAGCTTGCTTCTCTCCCTGTGCTCCCCCACAGGTGACTCTGGTGGGAAGGCCGCCGTCTGCAGGGCAGGAAGCGAGCCCTCACCAGACACCAGATCTGCTGGCCCCCAGTGCTGAGAGAAACACGTGTTTGTTGTTTAAACTTTCCAGGCCATGGTAACTTGTTACAGCAGCCTGAGCTAAGACAGTGGGGTTCCCTAAAACCAGATGTCGAGTCAAGGCTTTCAGTATGAGCAGTTTATTTGGGGGGTCATGCTAAGAGGCCCCGCTGGGGGGCTGGAGACACAAGGCCGGAGTGGGGAGGAAGCCAAGGAAGGGTGTGAGACAGAGCGGGCAGAGTGGCTGGTCCCATCTTGCTGGGGAGCCCTGGAAGGCGGTGTGGAGTCTGTCCCAGAGGATCCCACCTGACGGGCAAAGACAGTGGGGTCATAGGTGTGGGCCTCCTGTCTGAAAGTTGAGGGCTGCTTCGGGGAGCACTGACCCATCAGCATTGCTGGCTAGCTCAGCGCACACAGGCTCCCACGGCCAGAAAAAAGCCCTCAGGCAGAGTCACAGATGTCGCCGTCGGCCTGTGGGGTTGGGTGCTGGAGGATCGGGTCACGGTTGCAGTCCACCCTCCGTACTGCTCAGATCCACGTGTCCCCGTGTCCACTCTGCCCTTTCACTGAGTCCTCAGGGCGGTGGCTGGGCTGTGACCAATATCGATATTCCACATCTCCTTCCTCCACGGTTCCTCTGTTGTCTGTGGGGCTCTCACAGTAGAAAAGCCCGGACCTTCACCCCCAAGGGCCTTTCCTTCCCATGCCTTCGACAGGCCAGCATTCTGCACCCGCGGTCATGCTTCCCACTGGACATGGGCTAATCAAGAGCAAACGTCTTGGGCGCCTGGGTGGCTCAGTTGGTTGGGCGACTGCCTTCGGCTCAGGTCATGATCCTGGAGTCCCGGGATCGAGTCCCGCATCGGACTCCCTGCTCGGCGGGGAGTCTGCTTCTCCCTCTGACCCTCCCCCCTCTCATGTGCTCTATCTCTCTCATTCTTTCTCTCAAATAAATTAAAAAAAAAAAAGAAAAAGAGCAAACGTCTTTGCCAGTATAACTCTTTTCTTTGCCTGTTGGTGAATTGGCATGAGGT